GATCGCGAGTTCGAATCCACGTCCCACGAAACATGCTCACCCTTTCAGCCGTGGGTCGTTATAATTTTTCAGTCAATGCCACTATTCGTTGGTAAAAGAGAAGCCCAAGAGTTGGTGGTGTGAGTGGTGATGACTAGCTGCTTTCCCTCTAGTATTACACAGCTAAATTAGAGATGGCTAGCACAGATAGCCCTTGTGAGCTTGATAATGAATCACTACCCAATGAGTCGTATCTGGAGGATGGCATGATGGGTCAGAATATGATTGGACTTGTCAACAGTCAGGGTGTTATCAATTTTTACGAGTTAGTTTTTGTGGAATATTTTTTTCCCGATTTTTCACAACATGAATTCTCAATTCAGTATTACCAGAACAGCTTGAATCGTAATTCCTGCCACGGTTCAACAATCCACTACTGCAGTGGCTTCAGACGCTACTGGGTCTGCTGAGTAGGTCTTGGCCTTGATTTGCCTCAAGTTGGAATTTCTCATGCAGCTTGCTATGTCTACTGAACCACGGCTAAGTATCCCATTCCCGGGTGAACCTGGTCATAATGAGGGTTATTTGGATAGCCTATTCCTGCCTCCTTCTTTTGCAGGGAAGTTTTATGCTACTTCTTTAGATGTTCCATGACCTTCCTCTGTCTTTCTACACATGCTTTCCCAGGTATGTGACCTTTTGTCTCTTTTCCCTGTATCAAATGATTCATTCCCCCCACCCCATTCATTCTGCACCTTCCTCAAATTATTTAGTTTTCCTTCCCTCTCCTGATATTCGAATCCATGCTGATAAGTTTCAGGTTCAATTATGTTCTGGGGGTTACCATGCTTTGTCATCCACGATTTTTGACTCTTATACCTTGGCATATTATCAGTCTGATTGTCCTTCTATTGGACTGAGGTTTTCCCAAGTCCAGTTTTTACGTCTTTATCTTACCCTAACCACTATCCTCTGTTATATTTCCTCCACACATCTCCTCTCTGAGGCTGTCCACTGTTTCCCTGAAGGGTTTTTGGCAGATACTCATCTCCTTTTTTCCAGTTTGGTTCTCTTATTTTCTTCTACCCTTTACCTTTATACTTGGTTCCTTTGTTGTTGGGATCTCCTTGGTAGGGATGTACTTTTATCAAATGTGCATCTCTGTCCTTCATATTTATGTAATATTCCTCCATTTTCTCCTTGGATTCTCATCTCTCCCAGCCTCTCCTACTCCTATTCATGTGTCTTGTCATCTTGCTTCCTCCCCTTTCCCTGTGCCTCCTTCCCGAGTTTCAGTAGTGAGCTGCCATATTGCTCATCAATGCATTTTCCAGTGCCAGTGGCATCACTGACTATCCTGTTGTTTCTGACACTGTAGGAGTACAGTTAGCCAGGTTTGTTCATCTGTGATACCCATTCATCACAGATACTTTGATTCTTCAGGTTGTGTCAGAAGGAATTTCCCTTTGTTTCCTGAACCCTCCCCATTATCCTCACTTCCCATTTCCTTCCCTCCTCCATGGGGTCCTCTTTCATGCCAGTGTCTATTGGAAGTGATTCAAGATATTTTGCTCAATGACACTATTGAACCAGTCAGTCACCATTATCCAGGGTTTTATTCCCAAATGGACTGGGGATTGGCCTATCCAACCTCAACCACTTAATCAACCTCTCTTGGTTCACCATGGAGTTTTTCTCACACTTTGGTGGGTGTTCACTCTGGGTTTCTGAATGATGAAGGTCAACTTCTTGGATGCATACCTTCATATCCCTATCTCTCCATCCTCCAGACGTTACCCTCATTTTGTTCATAGAGGTCGAGTTTTCCAATTCTGTACTCTATCTTTTGGGCTGGTGTTGGCACCTTACATATTTTGTCATGCAGTCAGGGCCTTTGCCTGCCATATTCACAAACAGGGTTTGTGGTTCCATCACTACACGATGGCCGGCTACTTTTGGCCCTATCCCAAGAAGCCGATCTCACTTAGATCCATTTCTTCCTATGAGAAGCTGCTCAGGTTGGATAGCTAGTCAAGCTGGAGAAGTCTTGTCTCAACCCTACAAAGTTTCTGATCCATTTGGGGGTGTTTTTCAACACCTTCCTCAGCAGAGCCCAACCTCTTTCTCTTCATTTGAAATCAATGGAGCTCTTGGTTTCCAAAGCAAAATCCTCTCCTTCTCTCCCTGTGCATGAGGTTCTATCTCTTTTGGGGACCTTGGCATCCATAGAAGCCCTTATGCCTTGGGATTGTGCACACAATCGTAGTCTTCAGCAGGTGTTGCACGATCAATGGAATTTCATTTGGGATCCTTTGGGGTCCATCCTCCTCCTCCTCCCTCCTTCCCCTCCAGGTCAATTGTTCCCTGGTGACTCAACAGAGACAACACCTCAAATGCTGTTCTTTTGCCTCTTCCCCATCCTGAGGTGCACCTGTTTACAGGTGGTTCTCTCACAGGATTGGGAGCATATATGTATTATCAGGAGGTTGTGGGCCATTGGTCAGTGGTCGAATTTTCTTTCCACATCAATCTCTTGGAGCTTCTTGCCATGTGTCAGGCTTTGGTTCATTTCCAACTTTTGATACAGGACCATTTGGTAATCATCTGTTTCGACAATTTGACCTTTGTCTTTTAGATCAGTCAGCTTTGTTTTCAAACATTGGATCTATTTTTCTAAGCCCAATCTCAGCAAATCAGCCTTCTGGCTTGTCACATCCCAGGTGCTCAGAATATTGTTGTGTTTCAGTTTTCTTATTCTAACAAGATACTACCCATGTAGTGGTTTCTTGCTTCCTAAGTTTTCTCTGGTTATGCTCTTAGTGTGGTACTCCTCTTCTGGATCCATTTCCCACTCATCTCAATTCCAACCATCCCCTATTCTAGTCTCCATTTCCACATCATTTGGTTATGGCTGTGGATGAATTCAGTCTGCCTATCCTTTATGCCTATCCTTCAATCCATCTTCTTCCTCATGTTCTCTCCCTGATCCAAGTCACTCTGTGTTGAATTCTTCTTGTTGCCCATTCTGGCCTGCTCAGCTGTGGTTTCTTATCCTGACCCTCCTGCAGTTGTCCCCTCCATTACCCCCTACCATGCACTATTCCCATCTCCAGTAACCTCAATCAGTTCTTAAATATGTGGTTGATAGGGGCCCCTTCTCCTACTGCAGACTGGAGGATAAATTCCCAATGCTGCCAGGTTATGGACTAGAGTTGACCTATCCACATTGCATCCCACTTCCTACTGTCGCCAAGAGGTTGGGTTCCTGGGTGACCTGATGTTGGTTGTGTACTGAGTCTGAACATGTGCCTGACCTGGGTTTTTAGAATGGAAGTTCTTCTTTCCTTCCGGTCCTTGGGCTTGAAGTGAAAATGGTACGGACCTTTCTCTTACCACAGGCTGGATGACAAATAACAGACACCACATTTGAACTGGAGTTGACATACCCATTATGGTCTGATGTGCCCTAGTTACTCTACACCATCTAGAGTATCCATTTGCAGATTGAATGTGCATTTCTTCCACCCAGTATAGCAATACATATTTTTATAATAGATGAAGAGTATACTTAGTACAGATGGGGTGCGGTCTCCCACAAGTGTGACTTCATACATTAGTGTATCACACTCCATGTTCTCTTCAGGCATTTTCCAAAGAGTGCTCATATGGATAACTTTTGCACTGGCCCCTCCACTATTTCAATGTGGGATTCTAGCTATTATGTGGCAGTAAGGTATTGTACTGGAAGTTAACATTTTCCTACACTGAAAACACATTCCTGATAGGTACTTACCTCCTTTCACACTTCCCACCCAACCTCCCCACTTCTGGTGTGTCTTTTTACCCAATTTTACCTGCTTGTTTAAGAAAATAAAACACTTTCCAAGGAATCTTAAGATTTACTAAAGGGTAAAGAAGTTAGGTTTCAGTGTGGTCTCAAGTTTTAAAAGTTTAATAAATACTGGATTACTACGTAAGTTTTATGTTTTTAATCTTGTAAGAAATAATGCATTTTGTGAACCTTTTTACCTGAAAGCCAGTATTTTCTCTTTAATTGATAATGATACTCAGATGTTTAATTGAAATATTAATCATCAGAAAAATGACTGCAATGTTTTGACTACTACTTTCCTCATTTTTAAACTGGATTAATTCCTGCAGAATTTCACCAAGCTATTTAGGAAAAATATGTTAAAGTTTTTGATCACCTGTTTTCATTTTTCTCTAACACTTAGTAGAATAAATTTTTTTTGGAAGCTAGAGTAAAGCGTTTTATGTTAAAATCAAAAAAGGTTAGTTGTACTTCATTCCTGAAAAGTTGTCTTTTTGTCATTCCTTCCTTTTCTTTCACTTGATTACATTTAGTGAATTTTCTTTGTCATTTCTCAAGGAGTTTAGTAAGACCAAACTTTTGAGTTAAAAATTTTGTAGAATATGTCAAAGGTGGTGGACATGTATATGCATTTATAATAATGACATACGTGTGCAGTATGCACTTAATTTTTTATATGTCTCATCATGATACCAATATTCACAGAATATTAAAATGCAGGATTTGAGCTCTTGGTATGGTATTTTTCCACTTAATTGAACTGTGCAGAGGAACATTTACTTTATTACTTCACATAATTTTATGAAACGTTATGTGCAAGAGTTAAATTTATACATGTTATTAAGTTACTATGTACTCATTAACAATACTAATGAAAAGTGCTACAAGTGTGCAGGAAAGTCTTGGAATGGTTGTTGATCTAATAGTCTATCAAACTCATTTTGAATGTTTTTTTTATGCTTTCAAGTTTTTTCTCTGTGTTCAATTGCTGAACAATGCGAGTTATGTGATATCAAAAATAGCATTTATTATACAACTTTATAAAATAACGAAATTCCTACCATGATGTTGTCCTGTTTATTCCAAAGTAATGTATGATTTACACATTGATTCTGAAGTAAGAAGAGGAGACGTTGATGTAAAATTATTTCTGTTGGTATTAACAGTTGAAGAACTAACTTTATTTCAGTATGTTGGTTGTCTTGAAGTGAACACATCCATGAAGAGCTTGGACTTTGACACCAGGTCACAGATAGCCAAGTAAGTAAAGTGATAATAATATCTAACATTAAAGTTGTGATACTGTATTCAGTTTTTATGGGTTTTTTTGTGGGTGTAATATAACACTCCTTGCAATGTGCATTCTGCATTGTAGTATATTAGTTGGTTAATCAGATTACAAAATATTGTTGCGTCAGCGAGGTCACGTGACTATTATTACGCCACTCCTTCTCCCGAACCTTCGAGAGATTACTAGATATAGGGTAGTCTGGTATATATAAGATGGTCACAACGTGACGCAATAATGTGTGTGTTTAGGTAGTGAGTAATTGAACTGCGGTCAGAAGTATT